CTCTTTATAAAAAGTGTACTAAAGAAATCACAATCGATAATAATTAAGGTTACACTATAATATAAATTACATTCTAAGTGTTGAATTTTTGCTTGACCATTAAACAAAATTGGCAAGAATAATCCTACATTTTTTTAATATGTCAAATAACCATATTAGAACAATGGCTAGGAGTGAATCAAACTCTTAGCCAATTAAGAGAAAAAAGATAAACGAGAGGAGTTCGCCCTAGGAGATTCTCTCTCAGACACAACCCCCAAGACAACCGCATCTCCAGAATGAGATTCTTCCTCCGGTGTGTCACCGACGAACTTGAAGTCTCTTCTTCTTGATCGGTTACTGACCTATTAACCTACATCGACGACGCGACTATGAGCTCCCTCGATGTCTGTCTCCACGCATTCTCCATCCGCGATGACAAACCAATCAGATCTGCTCAAGCTTGCTTACCGTCGGTGGATGGCTGTCCCGGTGACTCTGAACCCGTTGGCACCACCGGAGCCACCGGATCCACCGGACCCCTTGCGATTATATACAAATTCTCTTTATCTGCTTATGTGCTATCATCGTTGCTATTTCTGTACCGTTATCTCGGTTTCATCTCAGTCCACGGCTTCAAATCCTGCTCCGTCGACGACAAGACTCACTTCCTCGCCGAGACCTTATGTCACATCTTTCGTCTCAATCGATTTCCTCGTCGTGGGTCAAGGAAGTTGCTCCAACACGGGAATCGATTCTACATCTCAACCACCGCCTTCAATCTCTGCTCCGGCGACTGCAGAACCATCTCCTTCGCTGACTTCCTCCTTCCCAGTGACCTGTTTCACCGGCGTTGAATCCACCATAACTTTCCTCGTTGAGTATTATAATATTATGGGCTTGCCCCATTTTATCTCTTATGGATTTACACTATATTTCTCAAGCCCAAATCCAATTCATTCAAGACCAATAGATAATGCTAATTCTCGTTGCTCTTGTGCAAAGAAGGTATCGACTTCTATTAGTTTGGGATTGTGTAACCAAGTGAGCTTTTCTTTGTGCAGTTTGGTGAGATTAAAGTTTTCTGGATTCTCAAATCAGTTTTATGGATTTTCAAATCCTGTAACTTCCTCCGTTGTTTTGATCCGATCATGCTTATTATCCGGGGTCATAGTCTCGAGCCTCTCGCCGAGAATCCTTAAGAATTTTCTTACCGCCTTGTCTTCTAGTGATCTATACGAGACTAAAAGAAGCAGCCGGATTCGTTGCCGGAGGTAGAAATTCGTTTTCAACGTCACATTTGAAAGTGACTAACTTCAAGCGCTCCGGCTTTGCCTTGAAGACTCTTTTGACGGATTTGAGGCATGTCTCAAATTCGTTGTCCATCTATTCATTCTATGTTTTATTGTCTTTATCTCTTGTTTGAGTAATTTAAGAGGTTGCTTCATTCCCTCTTGTTGTATTTCAGAAACTTAATTTAATGAATTAAGGGTTGCACAAAAAAAAAGAACAATGGCTAGGATATATTATATACAATGTAGCTAATTAGTTTTCGCTAAGTTCCCATGCTTTTCTTTTTTTAGACCTCTT